GATGAGCGGCCGCACGCGCATCTCGGTCTCGACAGGCGGATTATACGAAACCCCGGATCACTTTCTAGGGTATACACAACTAGCCTAACCTAGCCGTGACTTATACACTTCCCAGCTACGTATTTTGGGCTCAGGGGTCGTCTCCGATTGACTATGTAGGCTGTACCAGGCTCTGAAATCACAGAGCTGTCCAAGTTCTTTACTTCTCTATCACCGAGTTGTCGGGTCTCTTATAGACGGTATCTCCGAGAAAATGCCAGCACTATCCTCCGAACTCGTCCGCCTTAGCATACCCGACATGTCGGGTCCTTGTATGTTATGCACATAATGAAAAGTACCTATACAGGTATGGATCTACCCGTATATTTCTACAGATTACGATCATAGAACTTGCAGGTTGTAGAACAACCATTGACTTATATAGATTTTCATTGCTCGATGAATTGCTGTTACCAATCTGAAGTGCCCAGTATTATTAGCCCACCTATTTCGGCCACCGTGGCGCCACTCAGAGCAGGGGACCACGTACCTATAATAATACTAGCTTAGCCCTTACATACTAGATTAGTAGGTTTTTATAGCAACAACTACAGTTTAAATCTGGGCTAAGGCATTTTAAAGCGTGTTGTAGGCCCTGCAATACAACTTATATGCCTTTGCATTTTTTGCGATTTACTTGGTACCGTTAAAGGATAGTTGTATATAAAACATTGAAGGTTATGATAGGTACATAGTCCCCTGCTCTGATCTTTACCTATTCTAAGTAGTGCAAGGAGCAGATCTATATAAGTAGCGTAAAGGGTGGCCAGAATAGCCAGAAAGGGTGGCCAAAATAGGTGAGCTACATCCTGCCGACCTGTACAATATCGAGATTTTTCCACGTTTACCTAAGTACCTAGGTAGTAATGACGTATAAGGTGGATTACCAATCTTGGTTGGGCTAGGTACCTAAGATGTAGGTAGGTAAGCATACATATGCCTATAGTGAAGCGTTACAAACCTGCGGGATCAACGGTTGGTTACCATTTTGTGGTTGGTACTGACGCCTAAAAGACAATGTACGACAGACAGGTCTGACTCATAGTAAATCACCGACTGGTATGACATTATGTTCAACACATAATTGACAACGCGGTATTCACGGGTTCTGACTCTAAGATGGCCGACTCGCAAGAGAATACAGCGGCAGGGACACGAGCGGATGAGACAGATACTACGGCAAACTCCAAATCTGCGCAGCTCGGCCAAGCCACACATCTTCGGAGCTGTGTTTTGTGCAGGCAACGCAAGGTCAAATGTGATCGGCGCCAACCGTGCTCCAACTGCTTGGTGTGTATAAAACCCTTCCGTGCCTAGTCCCTTATGATCCAGCCAGTTGTGTGATACGGGATTTGGACATCTCAACTAACGTGTTCCTATGCACGCAGCGGGCCGGGGCGAACTGCGTCCATCCGCCTGGGACCGGCCGAGCAGCCAAACGGCCACGCCAGGCTGTGGATGCCAAAGTGCTGGACCGACTTTCCCAGCTGGAGACAACTATCAGGCGCCTACAGCAACAAGCCAAAGATCGCGATGCCGAGTCTCACGCTCACGCAGCCTCCGAGTCCACACAAACTCGGGAGAGCAGGATTCTGGTTGACGATGCGAGTCAGGGGCCCGAAGCGGCCCCGGAACTAGGCCGCCTTGTAGTTGAAGAATCCCAAAGTCGCTATGTTAGTAACGTAATGTGGGCAGACTTGACAGAGTCGGTTAGTCATTCGGACCTCACTGCTGTCAGTTGAATTTTAAGCTAACGTCATGGAGATCGAGCAATTACGTGGAATGTTTCTTGATACTAATTCTAAGGACGAGGACTCTCCCCAACTTGATGACAGCCCTCCGTTTCACGATGCGGAATCCCCGAATCCGGTATCCTGGGGCCCAAATGCAGCCATACTAGGGTACCGATCCGTTGCCCATTCTCTGCGCGGCTTCCATCCTTCCGTCGACCTATCTATGAGGCTGTTTCAAGTGTTCAATGACAATGTGTTACCAGTGACGCGCATCTTCCATTCGCCGACGCTAATACGTCTATTCTGGAGTGCGGTTGTCTCACCGGACTCCGTTGACAAAGAAACAGAGGCACTTCTATTTGCAATCTACTACTCGGCAGTCATCAGCATAGACCCGAGCCAGTGCGCCAACATCGTGGGAGCACCGCGATCCGTTATAGTCGAGCGATACAAATTTGCAGCAGAGCAAGCACTGGCGCGCGCTAAGTTACTGAATACGCATAGCACATTGCTCTTACAGGCGGCTGTACTATACGTCTCGGTGTTGCGGTCTGATGATGGAACACGCATGGTATGGTCACTCATCGCACTTACATCCCATATAGCACGCTCGATGGGCTTTCATCGAGACGGAACTGCATTCAATCTTCCACCTTTTGAAACGGAAATGCGGCGCCGCATATGGCATCATATCTGCTTGCTCGACCATCGATCTACCGAATATCACGGCTACGAACCCACGTTGGCTGTCAAGACACCTTTTGATACCCGCTGGCCGCTCAATGTGAACGATTCTGACCTTTCCAGCGACATGGCAGAACCACCGCCCGAGAGTGATGGTGCTACTGAGATGACACTTATCCACGTTCGATGTCATGCTTGGAGCATCAGTCAGAAGATAAAACGGTGAATAGCCTCAATGCTTATTCTTATATTCTTCCACCCCCAAGTTGATCACCATATAACGGCCATCTATTCTTTACTGTCATAGCGAAATTTCTTCATGTTTACCCGCCTACTACAGCTGGGAACATTACGCTAACACCATACCTAGAGCAAGTTGTTTGCCATTTCAAGCTCGTCTTCAGATTATGGACGAACACGACAAATGGGTTGAAAAGTACGTAGAACGCTGCGATTCAGCCCAACCGGTACAATATCTCGCAAAAGAGATTAGTTATATAGCTGCAGGACGAGTTCGGGCGTTCGTTGTATACAACGAACTGATGCTCCGAAAACGAAAAAGAGAGGCCAACGCCCCTCGTACTAGCACTGCCGACAGGAGTAAAGGGCGGCCTAGCCATGGTGACTCTGAAGTTGAACCCGATGAAAAAATATTGCGGGACCAGGCTTTTTCCAGCGCAATCACTATAATTGAAAGAACATACAACATAATGCGAGACTCACGCCTGGACCGCTGGGCTTGGCACTCGCACACCTATGTTCAGTGGCAAACACTAGCTCTCGTTTTGTCAGAGATTTGCATCCGTCCGCCTTCTCCGCAATGTGATAAGGCGTGGGAATGTGCGACGGCAGTCTACGATAGATGGTTGTGTGTTAAGTTTCGTGACAGAACGGAACAGGGAGACGATTTTTTTCAACCCATGGGCCGACTTATGGCGAGAACCAAGCGCGTGCGGGATTTGCAACAGGCGGAGCAGCGGCGGCAGCAGCAGCAGCAGCAGCAGCAGAAGCCACATTATCAGGCACAAACACAGATGCCGAGGACAAGAGCCGACGAGTTGACTATGCCGGGACAGCGAATGCCGGATGATACACCCGAGAGTCAGACATCACTTAACTTTAAGGGTATGGACACAAGACTTATGCAATCCAACCTCGACTCTATGACGGCGGCGACAAGCGCCTCGGATATTTCACGCAGTGACCAGTCCATGTATGGAATCGGCGACTTCGAGCCCTTTTTAGAGATGCTGCCTGACGAGTTACAAAACGAATGGATTGAGTCACTGGTGCGGGGCAACTTGAACCCTCGCAGCCACTCGCCTGAATTAATGTCGACAGGGCCTTTCTTCGACTTCTCATAGTCTATAATTATCTATTCCCCGTAACTCATCATATAGTTGGAAGCGCTTATCTATGGGCTCGGTTAGAGCCAGATTGGTGACACCCAAAAGGACCGGGTTACATGTATCTATCTTAGGTTGGCACAGAAGTGCTCGTAACGATGACGATGAAGATCTAAATGACATCGAGGAGTTGGGTTCGATTGTCCTACGATGGCATGGCGAAGGACCAGTTTAGATATGGATGTACACATACGACGATACCCGCGCAAACAAGTGTTGGAGACGTCGCGAGATATTCTCCGCTCATCCCAAGGACTCTGACCTTCCTAGGCCAATATCAACATAAACCTCTATTGGCTAGACATCAATTAGCCAAATCTCTCTCTTCAGATATGTGAATATGATTATGTGTCAGCTTCTTAGCATTATGGGAAAGTCATGCTGTACGTATTCAGGAACAGCACTCAATGCTATCTATGTGCCTTACTACCTAGACCAGCCAAAATTAGGAGCCCTCTACTTTGAGTTTCATTCGTTGGTCCTGTAGAATACCATCGGGTTTAGAAGGTTATACGACATCAATCAAGTTATGTCAACTTGATACCATATGAGGCAGATAGAGGTCGTAAATTGATTCTACGATATTCTCTTAGAAGCTCTTAAGACACGCCTAATGCTTTGCTATAGCCGGCAGATTTGATATATCTACCTCCACCTACTTAGCGAAATAAATAAATCAAACGTGCCTAGGTAGCCTACCATTTAAATGTGCTCCTTTGAAACACTTACACATTATGTATGACTTAGCGCCTGATGCAATTCTTGTCTTATATAATGTCCACTCAATTAACCATGTAGCGAGATCCTGAATGCGCAATCATACCCTATCTATGTATACCTTAGGTAGACCACTCTCATGGGCAGAAACTTCCAAGTTGCCTCCTTACCTAGGTACGTGTATAGATGTATATACACATGTATCAACGTGACGTCCTCCCGCCTACCTGCAGGAGGTAGGTAGGTATAAATCCACAGTTGCCAATCAGGCGTCCACATGTGTACCTGTGTACTTCTAAGTCAGGAGCTGACAGGACCACCTTCCTCCAGTACAGCTCCGGTACCTACTGCCTGCCCGCCTACCTACTTACCCAGCAACCTCACTCACACATTTCATATCGCTTGTCGGTTTGTCCTGCCAACCGAATTGGTGTAGGGGTTAACATTCCGGATTCTCAGTTCTAAGCCGAAATTCCGGAGCCAGGAGTTCGAGTCTCCTATTCGGTGATCCTTTTTCCCCCTTTCCCTTTTTTTCCCCTTTACTTTTCCCCTTTCTTTATTTCCTTTCTTTCTTCCTTTTTCTTTCTTTAATTCCATCCATAGTATTATATAGGAAATAAGAACATTTAATTTTAGCGCTCTATAAATATTAAACTGTGCAGGGTGTTTTAAAACAGGAGAACTTTTATGTTTTAGGAGGTAATTTCAGAGTTTGCGAAGACTGTGGACCACTTATTAGCAAACACCAAGGTGCTATTATTGGCAGAGTTACAAAGCAGCTCTAACTTATTAAATTGCTAATATGGTCGACTTAGACACCAGTAACAGAATGAAGGGGTGGATGGCATCGATAAATGGCAGCGTTAACAACAGATCAATCAAAACAGCTGTGGTCAACTCATATAAAGTTAGTGCCTGACGCGAAACATGTTTGTAACCAGAATTACCACTCAGCTATCATGAATTATACAAGTCTCAACATATATTGTTACAATTTTTGCTTTTGGTGCGTAAAGGGTCTATATGGTCTGTCTCGACCCCCATGAAGAGGCTGGCAATCTGTAAGTTCCCTCAATGACGCCGGCATGCTATAAGCGGGGCCATATTTGAACAGCTCTACAAAATAACTATTCGCTGCTAATTAGCTAGCGGCCAAGCCCAGTGGCCCATCTACTATCTACAACTTGGGCGGTATCTATCAGGAGGTGATTTGAGCAACGCATCGCCCCAGGCGGCTGTTCCGGCATATCGCGTCGCCCATCTCATGTTATCCTAAGTGTTCACGTCGGCTTGACTAACATTCAAAAGCATAGGTCCCAGGGGCCTCGACGCTGCCGCTCAAAGCGCTGGCTATTACGAGGCAACTCATGTTCTTTTATTTTACTTCTGTCAATATGCTGTTGAATGTCTAAAGCATAGCGGACTGACAGCAAAAGCCTTCGGCCCCCTATACGAGATTACAGGGTGTAGGCCGTATACCGATCACCAAAGGTTATGGACTCGAGAAACCTGCAATAGGTCGTTGTCGGATGGTTGTAGTAGCGCAGACGCCAAGCTGTCGATGATTTCCTATTTTACCAAGGAATGGATCGAAAAAGCCAAAAACGCACCGTACGGATCTTATTCTACAAAATCCTAGGCTTCTTTGTCCAAAAGGTAGGCTATCGTTTGGGTCCATGCCCCTCTTAAGGAGAGACACAACTGCCTTCCGTGCATCACCTCCTGTTACCCTGATGAGAGCTTGTCACGAAGTTCAGTGTAATTGAGGTCCGGGTGCCTATACAGAGATCACATATAGCGTACGGAGCGGGTTGATCTATTTCGGGAGCTCCAACACTACATAAGTGATACAGCTTACTCTCTTTTGTACTTATGGAACTGAGACAAACAATATGAACTACAGGTACATCGATCTCTGTAGGAAATAGAGTGGGGTATCTTCTACCTATGGGATCAATCCTTAGCCTCTCCGCAGGAGAGCTCCTTTACCAGTATTGCTAGTTGAATCGAAACGAGCACCTTTCTAAATTATGTATCGGCCAAGCTCAACACTGGCAAACCACTGAGCACCTGCACAGTGTCTCCTCGGGACTAAGATTGGTGGCGATGAGGACCTCGTCTTAAAAAGCGTCAACTAGCGGCACACCTGAAACTGCACAACAAAGAGTATTTTATATATGGCCAGATTAGCCTGCGAAGGTGGTTTTAGAGACCTTTGCGCGACAACGACCGTATATGACCTGACGGAGTTCCTATAACCTTGACCGCATATCCATTTGTCTCCATTGCCCACCTAATCTCTTCGTGAACTAAGTCTGACCAAGATTACCTACAGTAAAATATTCAAATAACTGTTAGAACTATGTACGACGCTGGTAGTTATACCTGATTGTTAGGGGCCGGTTGGAATACTTACGAATCGGGTTCGTAGATTCGTAGGCTGTTGGTATATACTTTCCCTTCTTGGTGCTCGTATAAAAGGAGTTTGACCAGGTGTAAGAACAGTGCGGGATACTGTGTATAGGGAGCTCTCACAGTAGCTGCAAGGTCGTGTTTTCTACAAAGGTATCATCATCCTGTATGAGAGGGACGTAAATTTACACCTAATTTAAGCGCAGTACGCAATGAAGGAAGTGGTGCGTACGTAGGTAACGCTGGACCAGCAACTATATTCATTGCATGGCTCTCGTGTAAATCTGCCGTGACTTCATCTTGACCTAGGTTAACGATCGCTAGGTGTTTGTCGACGCAAATCGTACGGGTGATGCCGATACGTGTAGTCGCGTTTGCTAGATCGCCATGCTCGTTAAAGAACAGGAGAACCTGGTGGAAGTTATTCGAGTCGACTACAACCACGTGGTTGCTCTGTTCCTGGCTGGGTGCCGAAGACATCGTAAGAGGTAAAGAAGAAGAAGCGTGCTATAGGATGAACAGTGCGTTTTGGTGTGCGATGTTGTTTTGCGATAACAATGGATGAATAGAAAAAGTGGTTTAATATATGGGTATTAGGTGTAGTGGTTAGTTGTTCACAATATAAATAGGGAAAAAAAAGAGGGAAAAAGGGGAGAAAGACGGAAAGAAGTAAATACCTATATATACCTAAAAAGAATGACGTTTGCTTTAGAACTAGTTGTTAGGGAAGCGGTTGCTCTAGAATCGATTGCTATAAAAACTTGCTAGATAACGGTTGGACGGCATAATCGTAGCCACGAAGGAAGGGTTGCTATAGAAATAAAAGGCACGGGGGACAAAAAGAGAGCATAATTACTGCTGCTATAGATCGAAGCCTATAAAAGGTAATATGTCTTATAAGAGATCGAGAGAATTACTGTGTAAAGGGGTAATATTTCCAACTAGGCAGCAGATCTATAGATCGGTATAAATCTAGTGGTACATGATAGTATCGCATGTCCAGCACAGCATAGACTTAGGTATTTTGGTGATGGCAATGAAGGGTACATATGTATGTAGCTACTAACTGTACGTACCTCCTACTTATGTAATGTGTGGGGTTTGCCCCACACGTCCGTTATAGGTAGAGTCACCAGCACAACACCGACCTAGGTACATGTAGTTATGATTGCGTCAACACGGTGCTACCTGTGCTACCTGTGCTACCTACAGTATCTCTGTACCTACCCCTCCAAGCACCTCGCACCTCGCGCCTCGCACCCACTCATCCACTCGCCCAGTCAGATACTTATCTAGGCAAAGGTATGCTGGGCGTACTGAGTTCTGGGCACAAACTTACTTCACTTCGTCCCTTCTACACCACCGAGATCTCCCCTACCTCGGCCCATTCCCCTTGACATTTTCGCGACCCAGCAGCTTATTTGTAGCTGATTCCAAGTTTGACTGGCTCTCTTCCATCCAACTCCACAGCTTGACTGGGCATGCGGTAGGCAGAGAGTGCAGCATCAAGGTGCCCGAGTACCATACGCTCTATTAAGCTATATTCCGTCCTCCATCATTGTTTTTCTCGTCATTCTCGGGAATTACCAACACCATTAGCAACGAACATAAGTTACTGCGTAGCTTTCGTCCCCCGTTCTTCGCGCCAGCAGCTGCCTACTCGCCAGGAGCACCCCGTTTCCTCGCCCGCCCCTGCCTCTACCTCGTACGAGCGACGAGTGAACAAACGATCGGCTCCGATTACCTGCCTTTGCACACTCCGCCATCCCATCGACTGTGACCATCGTCACCACTAGCCCGAGATGGACGACGACGTCGACTCCTTCATGGCAGTAACGGGGGTGACGTCCCGTGTTGTCGCACACGGATATCTTCAGATATCGGGCGGGAATCCGAGCCAGGCCATCATAGCCTATTACGAGAATCCCGAGTTGGAGTCTAGCTTCAGCATTGTGTCGTCCGCACCTCGAACCTCTTCACAACAACGAGGTACCTCGTCTCGCGCTCGTAGCAGCGGCCTCACAGGGCGGGAGGATTCTCACGGGATCGTGCACATCGATTCCGATGACGACGATGACAATATTCGAATGCTCGAAGATGATGGGGACAGCGGAGATGTCGCCTCCATAGCCAGGAATGCTCAGGAAGAGGAGGACGCCGCCATGGCGAGGCGACTACAAGAAGAACTCTACGGCTCGGGCCCAGGCTCAGGCGCTGCAGATGATGGTATACGGGCGCCTATAGCACAGACGACAGAGACACTGGCCGGTCCTGACCTGGCATGGACTATGGAGGAGGATCGAGAAGACGCTGTGCTGGAGCAGCTACGAGCCCGTCAATCTCGACAAAGACGGCAAAGTAAATTCATTCCGGCAACTCTCGCATCTATATACTAATTTGTCTCACAGATCGGAATCCTAATCCTTTTGACCAGGCGCCCTCAATATGGGATGACGCGACTGCATCTCCATTACTACCGAACACGCAATCTGATCAGAACTCTGTGTCCCGAGCTGCGATGCTACGTGATCTCTTCCGCCCACCCCATGAATTGATAAGTGACGCCACATGGGATGAAGCTAGAGACGAAGGCAAAGAAGAGAAAAAATGGATCATGGTCAATCTTCAGGACCTGGAAATATTTCAGTGCCAAGTCCTGAACAGAGATGTGTGGAAGGATGAGAACGTCAAGGCTTTGATCAAAGAACACTTTATCTTCTTGCAATACGACAAAAAGGAGCTGAGAGCGCAATCATACATTCAGTTGTACTTCCCAAACGGGGCCCACGAGAATAGTGACAACTATCCCCACGTTTCTATCATCGACCCCAGGACGGGGGAGCAGGTCAAGGTGTGGTCGGGAGAGTCTTTTCCCAAGCCAGGCGAATTCTACGGAGACCTAATTGAGTTCCTCGATCGCTACAGCTTGGCAGCTAATAGCAAGAATCCAGTCGTCCAATCGAAACCAAAGCGCCAGCCAATTGACATAGGTCGCTTAACAGAAGACGAAATGCTTCAGTTAGCTATGCAAAACAGCCTAGAGAACAATGGCGGCTCGTCGGGATCCAGTGTACAGGATCCAGACATGCTCACAA